TCTAATAAAATTCAAAAAAAAGAATTTCAGTTCTGCTGAAAAAAATAGACATTTTTCACGACTTCAACAGGAGGGGGGTGATGACACATCCGTAGCTGATGTTGTGCTTTGACGGTTATTATGTATGTGCATTAGTTTCGCTTTGTAATTTCCTTCCTTCTCTTGTTACATACACTATATATTTTGATGTTGATTTGGTTTTGTTTTTCATTAGTTACTTTAACTCTATTCATATATTTCTCTTCATTCAAATACATCTTCACTCACTTGTGCTATCTTTTTCTGTTTATTAAATATATCGTTAGATCTGCTTTTACATTCAATTCTGATTTTTTTTCTCATCCAATATAATTTCCGATCATTATCATTGTGACCCCTGGCATCTTCAATAGTTGCATCTCAAATAGCATTCACGACGTAGGATGGAAGTGTTGTAGCCTCCGGTTAATCCATCGCTGAATATATACAAGATAGAAGTCGCAGATGATATTGTCAAATCGAAAGTAATGAAGATTAGAAACAATGAATATTCTCGATAAATAATTGAATGTCTCTCGATTTTTTTGAAGATTATTTTAATAAATCATTTCATGCTATATGATTCTATATGCGTTAATGTTTATTCTATAGTTAGTTACTTATAACTTTTCAATTCGTTAAAGTTTTTTTGCTACATTATTTACTTATTATATAGGGTGAGAGGTTGGTCAATCTTTTTTAAGTATCAATATTTGATTTAATTATTGATAGTATGAGATCCAGTTTTGTTTGGTGAAGAATTTCATCAATAAAACAAGCATAAATATAATGAATGGTCCATAGATAATTGCCCTTTTAGTATTTTCAAAACTTCTTCTCTTTTCTTTTCATTTGATTGAGACACCTGTTTTCTTTTATCAAAAGATAGTGCTCGAAATTGTGCACAAAGTAGTACACTTGATTTAAGGAATATAATCTCTTCCTTTTTTGAAATCAGATGTAATTGGTCAGTAATATCAAGTTCAGAGTGTAAATTTATTTTCTTTTTCAATTTTTTTTGATAGAATATTTCATTTCGTCTGTCAATGTTGTGTTTGTTGGTATGTATTCTGAATCGGTACTCTCAGTTTCTTCATTTCATAAACTATAGTCTAACGGGTTTTAATTAGATAGGTTCCTTGATTAGTGTTTCTTCGGTATGAATATACGAAAGTGGTTTATGTACTACTTTCTCACTAAGGTCATACGTGTGAACCTTAAAACCATTCTAGTAACATTCAAGTTTCAAAATAAGTCTACTCTTATGTATGCACATCAGTCACGGTCGACTCTTTGATCTTTTATGATGAAAAAAGAAGTCAAAGCCTTCGTGTAGTTGTGGTCATATGTGAGTTGTTGTAATAATCAAGTTTCTTGTTGGCACTCATTTCATGACAAGTAAACATCGATTCACACTCATTACTATCTGCAAATCAATAGTACGTTTTGAAACCACTCTATTCAATTACCATAAATTTTTGCGGATTCATCACCGTTTTCATATTTATTTTTTATGGTTATTATTATATTTTTACTTTTTATTTTTATTTTTTTCAAATTGTATATCTATAACAATTTTCGTATTGTATCATATACGGTGTTGTAGAGAGTTTCAAGCGCTGTCTATCTATCAAAGAAAAAACATTTTTCCATCAAACAGAAAATTAGAGAGGAAATTCTGAAAATACTAGGACTGTAATTATTTATGGGCGACTCGTTACAAACATATACAATGAAATCTTTATGTCATAAATCACAATTTATATTTCATATATTAAAAGCATGACATGTTTTAGAATGAAAAATGTTTTATGAGGTTAATTGGAAATAAAAATCATTATCTATTAAAGACCATAGAAATTGAAATATAATGTAAAATGATAAATGTTATTCATCTAGACAGGTAGTTTTGCGTTTGACTCGTGTTTTGCACTACTGTAAAGATATTCGAATATGATTAATTTTTCTTCTACAAATTATTATTGCTAGCTGTTGCCTTTCATGCTTCATCAATGTTATGAAAAACAAGTACATTTTGTTTTAAGTGTAACTACTTGCATGATTTCATTATATCCAATATCTATGTGTATATATTTATGCATGGTTGACTGCATCTGTACTTCCCATCGACAAGTAACACACATTAATAAGATCCATAGAAATAAATCATATAAATATATCTCTTATCATCCTATACTGTCATTTTTTTTTTTATGTACACTTAAAATATAAATCATGCGTCTCTATATATATTAACAAGCTATTCAAGTAAGCTCATGTCTATATTCCTATTTCAAATTGAATAAGTATTTAACTATGTATTAACGTAGTTTTATTTTATAAAGAATAAAAATATTTTTTTCAGTATATATATATATATATGTATAATCAAACGGAATAAACACTAAAGAAAAATGGATACGATGATAGATAGACAATGGAAAGATAAAAACAAGACAAAACTTGAAACTAAAATAAGAAACATTACATATGACGTGTATTACCAAAATTCATGCCTGATTGTGTCGCTCCTTTATTATATCCATATTGAGTACTAATTACCATATTACCTTGTTTTAATGTTTCTGCGGAAAAAGTTCGTTCATTTTTGTCACTTTCTTTTGGTCCTAAACCACGTATACCTTGTTTTTGAGCCTATAATTAAAAACAAAGTTATTGGTTTTTGTTCCGGTAGAAAAATAAATGAAATAATTTACTTTTCGACCAAGTGCAAAAAGACAAACAATAACTTGATGAAGATTCATTTTTTCATATAGATCAACTGTTTGAAATGTATCAGCATCTGTTAATCCATAAGTTTTAGCTGCTTCAGCAAAACGAGCAATATTTTCCATAAGTTTAAAAGTATTTTCACCTACAATAATTTTTATTTTTTGAAAAACAATAATTAATTATTTATTGTAAATATTTACCATTATTAATTTTTGGAATAGAATTTGGTGCAATAGAATTCATTAATCTAAAAGTAAAAATAAAACATATAAAAATGATTAATCCCTTTCTCCATTTCGTTTCATTTGATGATCTCGCATTCGGATATCTTTATCGTTAGTTCATAATTCATCAAATTAAAACAAGATAATATATGCCTTCACTTATCTTCATGATTAGTCATTTAAAAGCATATATTCTCGAATGGTTATTGGTTCAGTAGAATCAATATAAGATTTCAACAAGTGACAACTAAACATTCTAATGCACTTGCACTTAATTATCAAGATTTATAATTAGCAATCCAATGTGACAAAATTCGTTAAGAAGTAAAAAAAACAAAAATTTTACTTTTTTATTATATATAAAACGTGTCTGTACATTATAATTGTTAATACCTTTTTTTTTTTTTATTCATTTGGTTATTTTCTGTAATACAAACTATTCTCTTCTATATTAAATATTTAGTAATGAATCATTATAATCGATTATATTAAGACTGTATTGAGAGATCATCAAATGAGACCGAATTAGAGATTACCTATATATACGTACCGGCAAAGTTTACGACCATCTTTTAATTGATTATAAACATTATCCATATCACCACTAGTATCAAATTGTTCATTAATCATTTCTTTAATCCATTCTAAAGCTTCATGAGCCTGATTAATATCATATTTTGATTGAACCTATAGATCAAAATAAAAAATAAAACAAGTAGAAAATTACAGTCAGTTATTAGAATGACTCATTTTGTCACCAACCTTCTCCCATGCGACATGAGCAAAACCAGATTTTGGAGCACGCATTACTGTATTCATTTTTTAGATTTTCTTTGTTTCTCGAAACTTTAAGAATGTTAAGTCGATGAATGTTATATATAAAACATTCTGTTTTCTTTTTTGTTTTCTACTATTTGATATTCACTTTCTCGAATCGATTATATTTACAAACATATATGAAGAAAAACAATGAAAGAAAGAGACAACGTCTTATACGTAGACATATTATAAACATGTTACTATGCGTATGTGAATAGAGAAGATAAAACGAAAAATATCCCTGAAAAAACAAATACTTCTAGAAATCATTGAATAAGATACAGAGAGAGAATTGAATTCTAGTCGATAATTAGTTAGTTTTGTACTTGCATATTAATCAAACATGACTAAAACCAATTATCTGTTTTATTAGTTAAATGAACTATGACACAAATAAAAATACATATAAACAAGGTTATTAGGATGAGTTTAAAGTATCGCTCTTGATCATAAACAATGTAAAAATGTAATATGCTATAATCATCGAAATATTTTATCTGTTAGTTTTTTTACATACTTTATCAAATGCTTCTTTTGCAAGGCCATGTTTTGTAGGTCGATCAGCCATTAATCTTTTCGTAGTCTTGTTTTTTTTTTTTTACTAGTGTTGAATTAGTCGAAGTTAGTTTATTTAAGAATGCAATAGAACAGCTGAAATAAAAGAAAAAACAAATATAACATACAAGTCTTTCATAAGGCGGAGTTACATTTTATCATGAAAATGAAAGAAACAAAAAATACACCAAAACATTGTTAGTCATAACAAAAGAGTTGTGTTTTTCCTTTCGTATGCATGCACTATCAGCTCGAAGGTAACGTATGGCCTTCGTTCTGTTCTTCGATTCCTTACCTTCTCAAGTTTTAACTTGATTTCCCATTGGATCGTCTAACATTTTGATAAAACAATGATCAATATCTACCTGGCTCTTTGACCTGGAAAGAAAAACTAAAGCAAAAAAAAAAGACATTAAAAAAAATCATAGGTCTTACTCAACTGGAAAACAAAAAAAAAAGAATATGAGTCATATTTTACTTATAATTATAGATTGACAATGAAAGATTGAAAAAAAAGAAGGAAAAGTATGACACAACTTTGTTTTCATTGTTTTTGTCAAAATAATGTAGAAGATCTATGATTTTATTAATATTTATCTAAATATATTATAGATCATAATCCTAGATGATAAAGTGATATTAGTTTTTGCCATGACATGTTTGAAACAATTAAGTCAATATTCATCAGGCTTTGCATGCTGGTATCCATTGTTACCAACATTTTCAGCTCGAATAATCTTTGGTCTAAGAAATCTATTCGGTATTGCTGTAAGTCAATAATGAAAGTGTTGCTTACACAGATATATATCTTTGTTTTGTGTTCAAATTTAGTGTTGTGCTGCATTTACTCTTTCGCCTGTAACTTCCAAATTAATTCAAGGTCAAGTTCTTTTGGGTCTTGGTTTTATAGTTGCAATACAAAGCACACTTGGTGCCACAATTCAAGCAAGTAGTCGTCTGTTTCTTGGTGGTGCTATTGCTGCAATTTATTGTCTTATTATTGTGAATTTTCTTCCAAGAAATATTTATTTTGCTGTTGGTGCTACTAATGTTTTTGTTTTTCTTATCGTTTATACAGATTTACCAGCAATTGTTCGTCGTTTTTCAATTTTGCCAACATGTATTATACTTATACAATGGTTTAATAAACCTTATATAAATACATTCTATGTACTTCATGCATGGGCATCATTATCAATAGGTGGTGCATTAGCTATTATTTCTTTATGCATTCCATTACCTGTTTTACCAACTGCACATCGGGAATTAACAATTCGTATGAAATTTATTGCTCGACAAATACGTCGTGAAATAACAGCCATTGCCGTACTTATATCTGACTATCATAGTGCACATTTAAGTGATGATTATGATAGTAACATAAATCGAAGAAAATTTAAAAGTAATACTATTGATGAAAATGAAATTGATATACCAAAAAATTTTTATGGTGAAGATGAACCTTATAATTATTCAACATCATTTGAAAATCTAAAAGATGATCATTTACTCAAAAGTGATATAGAAGATTTACATTCACTTGTTCATGAAGAATTAAAACATATGGAACGTGCTTTAAGAGAAATTTCATTTGAACCATATTTTATATTAGTTAAAGTATTAAATTTCATGAGAAAAATCTTTTCTTACATTCCATTTATTAAAAAATGTATTAAAAAACAACCATCAACATTTCAATCACGTTTAGAAGTATGGGTAACAGGTTTTACTTCATTACAAAGAACGATTACTGGCATGTTATCATTAGATCATCATTATTATGCATTTGTTGGTCAACGACAATTAATTGATGTAAGGTGATTTTTTTTTTGTTTGGCTATTGTGTGCCAGGATTTCCGATTTCTTTAATCAATCTTTAAATCATATCTATATCCGTAGATAATTAAAATATTAAGTTCAATTCTGATGACTAAGTAGGAGTTTTCTAGTATAATGTATGCCATAAATATCTTAATTCAATACCATTCTACTATTCCTACGGTAGTATATCAACTAGGATACAACTTTCGAAATATACGTGTCAGCAGTATATAATTGAGACTCACTAAACATAGCAACACACTACTCCATGATATAATAACATTGGCAAACAAGTCTAAATTGAGTAATTTTAACTAGCGATTCCTAATAATTGTGTTCTGCAGTATAACTTAAGATGAAAGTAGAAGAACGAATTCAGAAGTAAAAAACAAGACGTCATTATTAAAGAATTTTGTGATAGATCTGGTAATCAGAATGTATTTTGAATTGTCAAAAACAACTTTGCTTTACTTAGAAATGAAAAGAAATACATATTTAGACAACCGATAGCTGCGCGTCATTTTCTATTGATAAATGGTGCAAAAGTCTTTGAAAAACTGTCGCATTTTGTTAGACCATATGGTCAACTTTTAAACCAAGGAAATTTTTCTTGTAAGAAAGCACAATGTCTGAACTATAAATATTGTATAAAGGATATTTTTCACGAATGAATCTACAAAGCAGGAAACGCCAAAAATCAAACATCTCTGAAAAAGTTTGTACAATTTTATCATCATGCCACATCAGTTTTCTATTTCCTTTAAACTTTTTATATCAGAAGCGAAATGAACAATCATATTTAATGTCGATTTTTACAGCATAAAGGGCACTCTTTCTAATGGTGTGTAATAATTTAAATTTACTATTGGTTGTTGTAGCTTGTTCTAAAGAAACTATATAACTTGATTGCTCTTACTCACTGACCGTTTGCAACAGCAAAAATATAATTTTTGAACTTTGTTTTTCCTTCTTAGTATCTATGATCTAACATACTTCGAGCAACTAACGCACAAAGAATTCAGTTCATGGATGGACTCCAAAGATTGTGACTGATATCCTTCCAAAGTGATTGTTCTTGCAAAATTCTATTTTATAAGAAATTTCAATTTTCAAATTTTTTCTGAAATAAAAGATCAAGAACGAATCTGAAAAACTTTACCAAAGCTAACATCAATCGGGTTTTTAATACATTATTCTTTTTTTGGTGGTGCTTTCTCCCTTAGATTCAATCAGAAAAAATATGCCTCATACAAAACTTGTAGTTCAGACATTTGTCTTTCTAGCAAGCGTTTAGAAATTGATAACACGATTTAACAGACTGTGACATTTTTCTTAAGACTGTTGCACCACTTATTATTAATCATTCTATGAGTCTTGTAGTAGAGTAGAAAACGTGTAATTGTATTCTAGAAGTAGAATGGTCACTAAGTTCTTAGAATTTGCAGTCGATACGATATTCTCGTTATCAAATAGTTATTTTTCATTTAAGATCGACTTTGTATAACAAATAGAGCAAAGACTTTTATTGATTGTGACAGTTGTACTTCTACTTAATAAGAATCACTAGCAATAAACATAATACTATAAGTATTATAAAAATAATGAATGACAGATATTTGATCGATGATAATATTACATTATAGTACTAGCAAATCACGATTCGATAAAACATACCGCGAGATGATACAAACGTAAACATTTCACTGTAATTATAGTCTAGAAGCTATTATATCTAAAAATTCCTTTGGGAACGTTACTATTTAGATGTTAAACTATTGTCAATCACATTATATTTGAGCTTTAAAACATGTGTACAGAACGATATAAGTGCTAGGATAGTATTGGATTATGATCTATATAATATACCTTATAGTTGAAAGCAAAAGTCTTTAATTAAAATGTCAACGTGGTCATCAGCATTGATTTAAAGAACTACAATTTATGGCTAATCAAAGCCATTCGCTTTTCTTCTGATGCAGTACGAAATAGAGCATGTATGTGATCATTCATAAGTTGTTATTTTTTTTTCTTTTTTCGGGTTATGCACCGAAAGCTAATATTTCCAGTTTCACTGATTCCAAGAATGAGAAATCGAATAAGATCCGTTCAAATGCAAAGCGAAAACTTCAAAATTAAATCAATACTATGCGTTTTTCAATGTTAAATAGGATCTTACGTTTAATTCCTATGAGACCAGAAAAAGACATCTTTTTATGAACCTCGTTTTTTTTTTCTAATTGCTAGATAATTGAAACAAAAACAGCAACACTAGTTAGTCATGAATTTCTGTGAACAAGAGATTTCGTGTATATATATATAATAGCTGTGAATACAACTGATAACAAATGCTGAATTGGAGAGAGAAACTCAAGCGGCCAATCAATTCATATTCATTCGAGAAATATTGATATCTGTTAATAGAGTTCTCATAGTAATGAATTTCGTAATGGCTACTTTCCACTTTCATTTTAATTTCCATCATCTGACTCGTCACACTTTAGAATATAATTTGTTGAAATAAAATTAATCATTTTAGGCAATTTGTCTTCTTATTGATTCAACATTTAATTTTTTGGATGCTTCATTGCCATATACAACAATATCATCTAGTTGTATAAATATTGAAAATATTCGATTATGTCGAGAAAAAGTTGAAGAAGCATTAGAACATTTTTTTGAAACATATGCACAATTACGTGAAAATCCAAATCATTTAATTATGTCAAATACAGATTCAATACGTTTAAATACATTTCTTCTACTTGTTTTACGTATTGTTCATGTAACTATAACAGCTGCTGAAACAAGTGAAACACCAGGTACTCGTCTTGATATTAATCTTGAACAATCAATAAATTCATCTATGACAACAAAATTATTTAATTGGAAAAAAATATTTTCTGGTTTAGCCAGTTATATTGGTTTAAGACCATCATTTGGTAAATTTGTACGTGCTATAAAAACAAGTTTAAGTGTACTTGTTTCGGCTATTGTTGCACTAACATTTCGTGAACGTCTACAAGCATATAATTGGGCGTATTGGGCACCGATGACAACAGCCCTTGTTTCAGATTCTTCAGAAGGCGGTACACTTCGTTTATCATTTCATCGTTTAGTAGCTGTTTTACTTGGTTCAACATATGCTTATATTATTATACTTATTGCACAAAATCAACTTGCTATTGGAATTCTTATATCTTTATTTGTTGCATTAATGGGTTATATTAAAACTGATCCACAAAAAGAATATTTTGCTGTTGTATGTGGACAATCAGCTTCAATAATAACATTTCTTTCTCATCAAGAAGGATTTCAAGGATCACGACAAGCAGTTTTAGCACGAACAAGTTTAACTTTTTTAGGAATATTTATTCATGTTATTATTTCCAATCTTCTTTTACCTATATCAGCTCGAAGATTAACTCAAAAAAAGGTAAATGAAAAATTTTTTATATTTTAATTTCTATGAAATGAATTATTCTTAAGGTATTGAGAATGATTGATAATATATCTGTTGCATTAAAATCAGCTTGTGATGATTTTTTTTCGTTTATTGAATCATCAACACCAATAACAAATTCTGTTTTAATAGATCCACAAACAATATCAACAAATAAACCAACATTTGATTTAATGAATACACTTGCAGAAACAGAAAAAATTGTAGATAATTTTCCAGCTTTACTAGAAGAAGCACATAATGAACCAGATTTTTGGAAACGTCCATTTGTAGAAGTTAAAGATCGTTATGATGATATATCGAAAGCATTACGACGAATTATTCGTAATATTCGATTTGTTCATCGATGTACAACAATACTTAAAGCAGAAACACAATTACATTTTGCATTAAAAGCTAGGTAAGTTTTTCATTCTATATGCAAACTATTTGACTGTCGTAATGTCTACAAATCGAAAAATAGAGATTAACTATCAATTCTGTCATTTGTTGTTAATAACTAATAGAATACGTTTCTTTTATAAACGTGTAAATGTCCAAAAGATAAATATAACATAACACCAGAGCTGTCACGAGATGTTAAAGAATGAAGGGAGGGGAGGTCGAAAAATTTTTCGAAAATTTTTCAAAAACCTCTATAATTTATTGAAATTTTGAAAAAAGAAATTTACGGATTTATTGAAAATTTTTGGAGATCTTTGAAAAAAATTGAGCAAAAAAAACAAAATTTCAAAAAATTGGGGGAGGCGACCCCTCGTCCGCCCCCGCTCGCGACAGTTCTGCATAACACATCATGTTTTACTATGATTTTAAGCATTATGAAACTGTAAGATTATTTCTGTGTTTTTAGGCAAGCTTTAGATTAGAATTCGAATGCGATTCACTCTACTGATGACACATGATCAAACCTAAAATTTCTTTATATTTATCTACCATAAAAAGTTTTTGTCTAATACAAGTTCTAGATAAATTTCAGATTAATATTTGAGAACGGCAAATTCTGTTCTATTTTGTAGCGGAGATACTATTGAAAATGTGCTATAATGTGAAATAATATGTTTGAGCAATTTTTTCAGAAAAGCATTTCCGAGTTTGAAAAAGCATATGTTCTGTTACTGAAATGTCATTCACAAAACAAAACAACATTTTTCGGACAGATCAGTTGATATCAGAGGAATTGTTCGATTAATTCTTTCGCTCATTTGATCTGAACTTTGAACTAAGAGCTGATCGATCTATAATCAATAGGAGAGATTACTTTTTTTGAATTTTTCACTGATGTTTTCATCAGTAACAATACATTTACATAGTGTCTATATTTGAGCACATTATATTTTCAACTATAGTTTTTTCCTAAATGCAAGTATTCAATAAAGATATAAGCCGAAAGAAAAACTGGTCGATTTTCATCTTTTTTTGTAATTGAATATATTTTTCAAACATTCTATAATTGTTGTTAGATGGCAACTTCGTCGAGCAAGTCTTATCTCAAATAATAATGTCGATACAAGAAAGCATTATGCATGGACAAAGGCAGAATTACGTAAACAAAAAGATTTACAAAATGATCTTGATATTCCATTAACAATATTTATGACACATTCTCTACGTCCACCAATAGAATTTGAAAAACAATCATTACTAACACATAATTCATCAACATCACTTCGAGTAGGAAATGCAAAATCATATCAACCAGTTCTTCAACATGTTCGTACACTTGAAAAATATGTTCAACAAGTTATATTATTAACAAAACAATTAATTGAAAAACAAACAACTGTTGATATTGGATCATTTGAATTTCAACGATTATATCGTGAAGATCAATTAGATGAACAACAAAAAGAAAATTTTCAAATTAAACCTTCAAATACTCGTGCATCATTTTATTCTGTTACACAATTAGAATTTAAACCAATCACTAAAAATCATTATATCTGCCTTCAATGTTGTCATAGAAATCAACAAAAAACTGATAAACCTTTACCATCCTTACGTCGTGGTGTTGATTTAATGCTTACATCATTAGTACAATTTCTTTATGCTAATAATCGTTTTATTCGTACTGAATTAGTATCGATACAATCAATTGGTGATATTTTAGCATTTCATACTTTGTCATATGCTTTAAAAGATATGGTTGAAGCAACGACTGATTTAGCTACAAATGCTCGAAGACTTAAACATATTGATATTCGAACATTAATACGTGCAGAACGTGAATAAAACATTCTATATTTAATCAATCAAAAAAGAAGCAATATTTGGTTTTTTTTTTAAATTTATTCATTACAGGTCTGTTATCGAGTTTTTTTTTTACTAAATGCAATACTCTACTGTGCTTTTTTTTTATCTCTTCCATATATTGATAAGAAACAATGTCCATTTAATTTGCAAATGTTCTTAAAAATAAGTTGAATCTCAAATTGTTTTTTTTTTGTTTTTTTATTATTTTTAAAGATGTTTGTAATAAATATCATTTTATTTGGCCATTTTCTAATGAATTTTTATAGATATTGTAAAGTATTGAATAATATATTTAGTTTTTGTTTTTGTATAAAATCTAATTTTGTTATATTATTGTTTATTATCAAATCAATGGAACGAGAAACATTTGAATATATTGATGGTTATCAATCATGTTGTAAATATCATTTCAATGGAAATGTTAATATTATTTTTTCAGCACCTCATGGTGGAAGTTTAATGCTTGATAATGTACCTGATCGAACAAATGATGCCTATATTCGTTTGTCAAATATACATGATAATTTTTGTGATGAAGATCATCGTAAAATAATCGTTACAAAAGATACACGTACAGATGAATTTACTGAAAATGTAGCAAATGAATTAAATAAAATAGGAAATTTCAAACCTTTTATTATTATTGGTAAATGGCATCGTAAAAAAGTTGATTTTAATCGAGAAATTCTTGACGGTACATTAAATCATCCTGAAGCTATATCTGCTTATGAAAATTATCATATGAATTTAAATAATGCAATTAATCAAGTTAATAATTTATTTGGTAAAGGTCTTCTTATCGATATTCATGGACATTCTCAGGGAAAGTAAGTTAAAATGAATTGACAAAAAACAAACAAAAACAAATAATTAATCTATTTAATAAAATTTTATTTCATTTTTGTTAGTTATTCAATGATTGGATATATGTTATCAAGGGATCAATTAAATCAAAATGATTTATCGAATCCATCATTTAAAACATCAATTGAATCATTATGTGAACCAAATCGAAATGAATGTATTCGTGGTCAAACATCGTTTGGATCAATACTTGAACGATATGGATTAGGTGTCGTTTATCCATCGTTGGCAAATCCTAAACCAGGATCTCGTGTATTTTTTCCTGGTGGTTATATTATACAGAATTATTCTTCAAAAATTAATTCAATTCAAATAGAATTACCTTTTGATATTCGTGCTGGAAATAATAAACGTATGAATGCACAAAATTTTGCACAAGCTATTATTGAATATATGAAAATAAACGATTTATTAATAACAAAGTGAAAGAAAAAAAAAATATATATATTAAAGTGTTTAATAAATAGAACCAAAACTTTTGTATGATAATCTAATTATAATATTACAAGAATTCAATATTAAGTACATTCAGCAGATTCTAGTCATTGAAGATATGTATGCATGAGTAAGTTGTTTCGAATGTCTTCAAAAAATATCATTATAATTTTCAAGTGTTGATAATTGTGAATGCTATTATTTTATCTACATCGCTTTTTTATATGAATTAGTTCAATAATAATTACTGTCATATACTTCAATTTTCCAAGATTATTCAAGAACTATTTTATTTTTTTATTCTTTTAATTTGATACGAATGTATTCTCTGTTAAGTACGAATGCTAGTATTTGTATATAGCTATAAAACAATAATGTAATATTGAACTCTATTGTTCCTAGGGTAGAGAAAGTTTGAATAATTAGTAATTATAAAATTATTATTTGTCAAATTACGATTAAAGTACATTTGTCAAATAGTAAATAATATAACTATTGATAATAAGAACTTAGGACTGTTACGTCAGTGATTGCAAATCGAGTTGATCTTTCCAAAATTTGCCAGTTTTGTTTTTTTTTCAATCAGAAGAAACTTATTTGACGATATATGATAAATCTTGGCCAAAATGCACCTTGAGGAGGAGTATGAATTTCTAAGTAACTTTTTCGAAATAGTGAATAATGGATTTACCGATTGAAATATTCTACATACAGAGACGTTTACTCAAATTAGAAAATTTATGTTATTGTCTGAAAATAGAATTCTATCGACCTACAAGATTTATTGAAATATTTTCGATAGATCATGTTAAATTTATACTGTTTTATATACAAGAATCTGTTTTTTAGCCTGACATTATTGATGTTCAGCTAAATTTTTTATACATGCTCGTCAAACTTTATAACAAAACGAGCCATATGCAACATATTACTTAATTACTATAATACTATACTGCGTTAAATAATAATTATACATAGAATGATTCAAAAGTTCTCGGAACATACACATGTTTATTAAATACATAATATTTTCAAAAGACTTATTTCATTAAATGTTTGAAGTATTCGTCTTTACTTGTTCTACAGAGTTTCATTCGATTAATCCATTTGTGGAACGTCTTTTGAAACTCATAATATGGTATAATACGAAGCTCCTTGATTACACCTTGTTATAAAAATTCAAAATCAAGGTAGCTGTTTAATTGCTGTTTCAAATAACTAAATAGCCAAAACTCAAATAGTGTCAACTCAAGCAAATAAGTCGGACGAAGCATTACGATCATGTCTGTATTATGCAGACATGTTTTAATATCTTTCTTTTTTTTTGAGGTCGTGCATTATCATGGTGCAGCTTTATGATATGTCAAATATACGTTGGCCTTTTTTTTCTCATATTATCAAAGAAAGGTTTTGAGGAATTGTCTTCGAAATAGACATCACACTTTGTGTTGCCGGATTCAAACATGTGTATAAATCTTGATCCTGTTACATGGTACAAGACGACAAACATGTTATTTTATCCGTATTGGCTTCACTTAATCATTGCTGTTGGACTTACCTCTTCAAAATACTATATTATATTCGATTGTTTCGAATCCATGCTAACAGAAGAAATTCATTCTTCTTCTCTTGAAATAATACCACATAGGTTTCATTTAGCAATTTCCTATTTCGAAAAATTTTGTTGACAAATATCGATTTGCTATTGTTTGCATTTTTCAGTCAGCTGATATGGCATCTAACGTGCACACAACTTTTTTAATTTCAGTTCTTCATGAATGACCTTGCTAATAGTGTCACAAAATATGCCAGTATCAAATATACTATGTATCGAATGCTAATGTGTGAACTTACATTAATTATTGCATGAATGGCTTCAATGTGTTTGCTCAGTTCTTGAATCATCTCCTAAAGAGATTCTACCATATTTAAAGTGCTGCTCCAACTCAGATTACTGGACTGTACAATATATGGTCTTCACTACATTGTCATAAATTCTGCATGAACTGGTTCTCTACAGTCGAGTTTTTATCTCGTACAAATATACAATCGAACATGGGTGTCTTATCCATCGAAAAATATACCATTTGGGAAAAAATGTGCTCTCTGAATGTCAAAATATTCATACTTGTCTAAGACAAATAAAGTAATAAAGAAAGTCTTTATTTGAAGGACTTGATTTGCTAGAAAATAAACTATATTTAAATTAAAACGTTTCGATTGAAACAGACGCGCTACAGTTTCCAACAGTCTAACTTAATGCCAGATTTTGTATATGTCGCATTTATTGTCAACTTTAATCAATATAATTCATTCCATTTAAAGTTGATCTAATATCTGGTTGTTGAGTAAATTACCGTAGAAATTACATATTTTTTTTCAACTGTCACAGATAAGTTTTTAAAATCACATAGATCTTTTCAATCATGCGTGCAATGCATCCATGCGAAGTTCAATTTACACGGTCGACAAACGAATGGGATGCATTATCATATTTTTTAATAGACAAAATGGTCACCTTCATAGTGTTAATTTCTATGTATATCATGTAAGTTTTTCTATTTCTCATTTTAATGAGGGGTTTTTTATCAATTTTGAAAATAAAACGTTACACACACACGCACAATAAAATTACACATTGATTAACAAGCATTAATTATAACAAAACTTACATAAGATCGTTCAAGTAGTATCTCATCAAAATATTGACGATTTTAATGCCCTTTTTTCCCTAAAATAAGCAACTGTCAATAGTCACAACCTTCCTATTCTTACTATATTCTTGTTTACGTAATCATTACAAAGATTTTTTCTTAGTGAAAAACTGCTACCAACAACATATTTTTTCAATCACATACAGTATAACCTCTCTATAGTGGACACCCGAGGGACTTTTTCAAAGTGTCCACTATACAGAGGTGTCCACTTAAGAGAGGTTTTCGATTTCTTTCGTTTCGAAGTAATCACTATCGTTACTATAGTGGATTCCACTCCTTTCTCAAATTCGTTCGCATGGAGATATGTGTTCAGATAAACTTCTCTTATAATTTATTGAAACCTATTTAATTTTATTAATTCTTGTTGTATAGGTAAGTGTGTGTTCAATTGAGTAATTTGCTGTCCATTTATATTATCATCTGGCCTGTTCTATTTTTGCCTAGTCTATTCTCTTTTTACCCTGTCTGTTTTGTTTCTGCCTAG